GCACACCCTATTTTTAACGAACCTGGTAAAAACAGAAAGTTTACATATATTTTTTCATCTCGTAAAAAAATGGGCTCCAGACTTGTTCAATAATGGCCGAATCGGGAGGGGATATGCATGTTTTATTTTGCGTCAGCTATGTTTGACGTGAACCAACTTCAGCCAAAATACTTTAATGACACCATTAAGGGGAAAGGGCAAAAACTATGATATTGATACCATAACAATATTAAAACAAACAAACAGCAACATTAAAAACAACAAATTAAAATAAAGAACAATAAAGGACTTAGGGCCCTTAATGGTGAGTTATTTTAACTTTTAATATACAAAATGTCACGTTATCAGAATGCGTTTACATGTAATTCTATATTCTGCTAAAAGAAAAAATGTTTTACAGTTTTCGACAGTCGCGGCTAGGTTAATGGCGAACATTGGAAATAAGCCTCAAAATATTCCTTGAAAATATTTACAATATTAATTTTTTTTTTTTTTTAGAATATACATTTCTTTTCTATAATTCTGCTGTATGTATTTGTATATACCCTAAAACCTTGAAAATAAGCCGCGGTTTATTTTAAATTTTGGTAAGAAAGTGGGTGCTTATTTTCAAAACCGTCTTATTTTCAAATCGCGGCCCATTATCAAAAAAAAAAAAAAAGGTAAGCGACGAGAGCATAATGATCATGGCTTATTATCAAAACAATAAATAAATCATAAGCGATCGATTGTGAACTACAACATTTGGCCGAGTATAATACGTACGGCTATCATTCGGACATACTGTAGTATGGCCAATTTCTTGTTGTTTACCGCTATATTTAAAACCTTTTAAGTTAGTAAATTATTGTTAGAACGTCACATTGTTGAAAATGTTAGATTTATATTCTGTTGACAGTTACATAATATTGAAAAACAAGTTAAAATTAGTTTTAGCTGCATATTCAAGCCGCCATATAATGAGGTTATATATTTATAGACGTTTACACATTCTTTTGCCACGTGCTTGCTTAATCATATTGCACATGTATCATATCAGTCAAATACTCGGTTTAAAAAAGCATATTTTATAATAAAATATTATAAAACTTAATTTATTTTGATTTTAAAAAAATCAATGAAAATTCAGTTCAATTTTCTTTGTAAACACCCTTGTACACGTCCCAATTAAAGCCATTGTTGTGATTATCTCAACACCCCTATTATCAATGGCTTTGATTATTTTTATTGATATAATTGAGGGGTCGATTTATAACCTTCGTACATTATAGTAATTTTAAAAAATAGGAAATATCAAGTTTGTTTAAACTTCATTGTTAAAATAACTCGAGCTCTTTTGAAACTAAGATATATCTGCAAAGACTTCCGCGATGCACAAAGTCCTGACGACAGTTGCTAATAAAGACGACATGTAATGAATTTCAAGATTTCTGCTTTAAAAAATAATGCAATAATATGTCGTGCTTTGCTAAATGAAATCATTAATATCGTCGAATGTTTATGATAAAGTAAAATAATTAAATTAACACTGTGTTCAATATCTTGCAGGTAGAAAAAAGAAACACTTTTTTGTTTAAAATTTTTCCTAATTGGCATTTTCATGACCGGCTTATTATCAAAACAGGCTTTTATCGAGTAATTTTCAATGCAAGAAATAGGTGGCTTTTTTTCAAAACCGGCTTATTATTTAATTCGGCTTATTTTCAAGGTTTTAGGGTATAATTTCTCTGCTTAGTTCGACCAAAGTGACGTCACTTACCTACGTTGTTTGTCACGAGACAGATTAAAATTGCAAAATATATGTACAGCTACAAAGACCATGAAAGTTCAACGATATACGGATATCTTTTTCCTCTGAAATCATTTTTGCTTTCTTCGCGACAAATTCCTCAACATAAAACGTGCTGGGAGTAAGATTTTAATGCTGGGGAACTATATAGAATTTAGTCGTCTTTCTATAAACTAATGAATAAGACGGAGAGTGCATTGAAATAAGCGAAGAACCAGCTCTCAGCACTTTAAAAATAAAAGGGATACTAACCGCCATTGTTTAAAAACTTTATTATTTATGCAAATACACTGGCAATAATTTTGCTTCGTTTGATATTGCAAAAACAAAACGAAGATAGTTTGAATTAAAAACTGTCTTTTATTTTAATCTGATAAATGACAAGACAAATAATGCAAAATACTAATCATACAACGTGACAATATGACAAGCATTACACAAAAAATATGTGCATAAAATTAACAAATACATTTTGTTAAGTATCATAGGTTAGGCATAAAAAAAATGCCCATACAGTTTTAAAACATGTGAAACTGTATTGCAATTATTAATCTTTTACTTACTCACAAAAACAAGGTTGTACAATTAATTTCTTACATCAAACACAGTAAGAAAATAAATTTAAAAAGCCTTTGAATGGGATGGTGGGTAAAAGCAAATCAAGATGACTGGCGAATGTATGTTGACGAGGCAATGCACGCTGGAAAAATGAAGGCGTGCGCAGAATTAGCAGCATCTGGTCAGTTGTTGATAAGAAATTATCACATTACAGGAATGTAAATTGAACGAGAAAGAAATCAGAGTTATTCTTCTTGCCATGTCAGATGTTATACATAAATTGATTTAATGCTGTAAATTAAGATTTTATGCAAATACTCTGACAATAATTTTGCTTCGTTTGATATTGCAAAAACAAAATGAGGATACATGTAGTTTGAGTTGAAAATTGTCATTTTTTTTAATATAATAAATGACAAGACAGATTATGCAATATACTAATTGTACAAAATGACAAGCATTACACAATCATAACAAAACATGTGCATAAAATTAACAAATACATTTTGTTAAGCCAAGTATCATAGGTGGGGCATAAAAAATCGCCACCTTATTGTGTTCATAATGAAACAATGAAATCAATAAACCCCACCCAAAACTATTCTCTTCATAAAGTTCACTATATTGTAACATTCATATAATGAACACAAACTGCATTTTTCTTTACATAAGTAATAAAATGATGTACAACTAATGATCCTCTTTTCCTTTCTTAAAACCCTTGTCCCCCTGACCAGACTCTTCATATTAATATAAAGTCATAGGCCCTTGTCCTTATGACTTGGTTATTATTCATGTAGCAAAAAGTGACAATAAGCTCTCATGCAACGCTACATTTGCCATTATGAAGTCAGAGGCTCATTTCCCCATGACCCAGTGACAAGTTTCAAATGTAATAAAACAAATCATCTTTAGCAACATATGTTAAGCTACATATATATTGACAGATTCACCGAAAGAAAAATTGCTGTTCAAAAACCTGCTGACCTTCGCCTAAAAGCTTACAAAGAAAAAAAGGGATGAACTATCAATTGGTACTATTTGATCAGAGGCCTCTAACCCCATGATCACGTTAATCTGAATATGTAGCACAGGAATCCTTATGTAGTTCGTAAAAGCATCGGAATGCCATCTTCCCATTCGTTTGATTTTCTCCTCTGAAATCCCCATTGCTGCAACACAGGTCGCAGCTTTTTTCGAAAACTGTGATCCTTATAATGACTCGTATTAAGTCCTGCCATCTGAGAGACATTTGCAAAAAAAAAAAAAAATTGTAAATTGCTGTCTTAGTAATCCATCGCCATTTGAATATGCAAACGAAGGACCTGGTGACTGGCCTCTAAGAGTAAAAAATAGCTGAATAGCCTGCACAAGACAAAAATGATCGTCAGATTCGTTTCTTTGTAGAATCAGTGTAGGGATGAGTTTGCCTGCAAGATGTTTGAAATTATCCATTGTAATCTCGTGAAATTCACAAGAACGTAATTTACCTAAGACGAGTTTAACATTTGCAAGAGTTAATACATTTTACAATACATTTTACTGTCTGTAGAAGACGAAACTGGTATATCACCAACCCTTAAAAGGCATGAAAAGCCAGCAAATACATTGCTCTTAACATATTACATTGATACGTTGAAATGCCTAACTTGTGCAGAGAAGTCGGCAGCAGTTTTTAGAATTGATGTTGTTATGGGCAATCTTGTATCGCTTCCTATAGCCTTTAGCTTTTGATATCCCTGTTGATGGATCTTCAAAACCTTGAACTTTGAAATTAAAACTAAGAACCAAAATGATGCTGCGATATCACTTTGAAAACAAAACGCAATAAAATGTGCCAAATGCACAGTTGATAGAATGACCCTCTGGATAAGATAAATTATATATCACTCTAAATTCCCTTCTTGTTTTTTGGGCACTAAACATAATGGCGAAACTTTTTGAACGGAGCATTTTTGAAAGGTCCAGCTGCTCGATAACAACTAACCTCTTTATTTATTTTTTTCTTCAAGGGTAGATGAAATTTGATCGGCTGATTTTAAGTTTTTACAAAACCTCTGCTCACAAACACATTGAAAGGGAATTTTAAAACCCTCTGTGAAGCCATCAACTAAAAATTTTCTGTCTCTTTTATTGTATTCCGAGAGCCAATGTTGTAACCGTTGAGGATTCACAGGGGCTACTATATCAAAATGTTTATTTTGAAGGTTTAAGGGCTGACTGTTTAAACCTCTTTGCATGCGCTTGTGTATACCTGTCTAGCAGTCTTTCTCTCTTCATGACCCCAGTAAATATTACTTACTTATCTATTTGCCATAGACTTTGTGTATCCTTCTCTCTCTCTTTGCATGAGTTTCTGTGTACCTGTCAAGCAGTCTTTCTCTCTTCAGACCCCAATAAATACTACTTATCTATCTGCCATCGACATTGTCTCTCTCTCTCTCTCTCTCTCTCTCTCTCTCTCTCTCTGTGTGTGTGTGTGTGTGTGTGTGTGTGTGTGTGCATCCGTTTGAGCATGCGTTTGAGTGTACCTGTCAAACAGTCTTTCTCTCTTCCAGACAATAATTATGATTAGCTTTGTATCGCTATTTATACATTCTATTGGAAAGTAAACAATATTGTATCGTACGTAAAATATTTTTTTATTAAATAAAAGGCCATTGCAGTGGAGGCAGCACCACATAGAGTGACTTGTAACAGCATTTGCCCCTGTATAATGGATACAAACTGTAAGTTTAAAAAGTTGAATCGAAAGACAATTTGCTTAATTCTATACCGTCTTCCCCCACTCCCCAAAAACTTGAAGACAACAAAATAAGAAAGAGTTCTTTAAACAATAATAAAAGAACGTGCTGAAATGTTTTAAAGATCACTCATGGATTGTATATTGTTTTACGTCCCATTCGAGAATTTTTCACTCATATAGAGACGTCACCATATACCGGTGAAGGGCTTCAAATTTTTGACCTTTACTCGGCACTCAGGGCCATTGAGCAGTGAGGGATCTTTATCGTGCCAACGCCTGCCGTGACACGGGGCCTCGGTTTTTAAGGTCTCATCCGAAAGACCCGCAACTTTCACTCCAAAGTGCCGAGCGCATGGCGAAGGAACAGTTGCTACCTATTTTTTATCGACTTAGGTCTGTCGCGGCCGAGATTTGAACTCACGACCTCCCGATCACGGAGCGAGCGCTCTACCGACTGAGCTACCGTGAACGGTGATCACTCATGGATGGAAAAATTAAGACCAAAGTGCTTTATTTTATCTGTCGACATTTCCTTCAGCAAGGTTATCCAACATACGATGGCCGATATGAGCCGTCAAATTATAAGTAAGAGTAACTCTATTATGTACGCAGAATTAATTGACTTTAGCAGTAATACCTGTATCATTTTGTACATCTTTGTCACTGACAAAACGCTTGTACTTGTAATATGAATTTGTACATGTACAAATCTTGAGACAATATAGATTTGAAACTACTTAACATTCCTCAGATTTATTGGGGAGATTATCTGTAAACTTAGAAAGGGTTTTAAACAAAAATACGTTTTTGCTTTTTTTTTCATTTTGGAGGGGATGTTAAATAAATCTTATTTTAATGATATTAGAAAGAGCAAGACTGTTTGTACATTCACATACGTCGTATGAGATCACGACTCTCAGATTTTTCCATCAAAGAATATTTTGTAAGTGTCTTTATTCAGATTCCTCGTGGTTTTGTTTGATTTAAACCTCTTTCACGACAACGTAATATAGATATTCATTCTTAGGCCTCAAATACTAGTTAAAGATTCCAGAGAAAATGAAGCTGAATCTTTAAGTACGAAGTTCATTCATTTCCTCATTCTATTATTTTCCTTGTTCCAATGAAAAAAAAAAATAAAGGAGAAAAAATATTAATGGAACAAGGAAAAGAGTAGAATGAAAAATAAACAAAGTTCTTATTTACGCAGATCATCAAGCGACAATCTTTCATCTGAAGGGAAGGGAAATACTAGAGATGCAGCTACATTGTCTCTGGAATCTTTAACCAGTATTTTGGGACCTACGAATGAATTTTAATATTGCGTTGTCGATAAGGAAATTACAATCAAACCAAAACACGAAGAATCTGAATAAAGACACTTACAAAATTTTCTTTGATGGAAAAATTTGAATGTTGAGGTCTCAGACGACGTATCTGAAAGTAAAAATAATCTCGCTGCGCTTTATGATTATTAAAAATTAGGAATACAGCATTTATTCAACCAAAAAAAAAAAAAAAAAAAAAAAAAAAAAAAAAAAAGAAAAAAAAAAAAAAAAGGAGAAAAGAAGAAAACCAGACACATGTGTTTTTGTTTTAAACCCTGTCTTATTTTACAGATAATCTCCCCAATTCTGAGGAATGATAAGTAGTTTCAAATGTATTTTGTTTCAAGATTTGAACATGTACAAATTCATATTGCAAATACAAGCGTTTTGTCATTGACAAAGATGTACATGTACAAAATGATACAGGTATTACTGCTAAAGTCAATTAATTTTGCGTACATAATAGAGTTACTCTTACTTGTAATTTGACGGCTCATATCGGCCATCGTACCAACAGGATGACGTTCACATATTTTATTCTTATTAAAGACCAGGCCGCTTACAACGCATTTAAAAATTTTGCATCGCTTATATTATTCGCGATATAGTAATAATAAACTTAAATGCCATATTACTACACCTTATCCCGAATAATAGGTGAATAGTTTTTAATTAATTAAATTTGAAAATGCCTGTAATAAAAGAGACATATAACAGGATGAAAATACACCATTCAGTCAACTGAATGGTCACTGAAAGGTCTGGAATGATCACTGAATGGCAGAGCTCTGCCAATCAGTCACCTTTCAGTAGACTTTCAGTCAACTTTCAGTTAACTGAATGACAGAGTTTCTTCCTGTGCATTTATTAGACTTTCAATTAGTCTGCGACATTAAGCAATCAGCTGTGCTTCACTAAACTCATTTCTTCCTAATAGTTAAATTTTGAACTTATTCTACCATTGACAGTTGTATTCATTGAATATTGAAACTAATACTGTCAAAGTAATGTAGAGCATACATGGTTTTGTTTTCATTGGTATAGATTATGTTAACCTTGATACCCATATTTTGTAGTTGTTACACCTGTACTAATTTCCCGGCAAGAGAAATCTGGCGAAAGTCGTGAAAAGTGTCTGGTAAAACATACATGCTTGTAAATCATGTTTCTGAAAAGCAGTTTATGCATTGAAACACGTGGCTTGATTTTGAATGAAACGTCTCATCCAGAAACACAATCAGTCCTTCATTATGTTATTCTTTAAGTATGCTTAAAATTTATTTCAGGAGAGACTTGCAAAATGGAATCCTACAAATAAGAATACTACACCTGCTCAGGTATATGTCTTTTAAAAAGAGTGATGTTGAAGTAAATATGCACTAAATGAAATGAAATATATGGAGAAAACGAACAGTATTCAAGCTCAAAAGTCCATTAAACAATACAAAGTAGGATCAGAGCAAACACGGACCTCCAAACATCAGAGGTGGGATCAGGTGCCATGGAGGAGTGAGCATCCCCTGCCGACCGGTCACACCCGCCGTGTGCTCCTTGTCATGATCGGGAAATAACGGAAAAATCCGTCGACAATTCAGTGTGTAAATAATTGCCTAACAATTAGTATGAAAAACGTCAGTCAGCATTTGACTCAATGATAAATAGTATTTGCTGACAAGGTCATTGTATCGACCATAGAACTTACGAAATAATGACTTTAAGCAAGACAGCTGATATTCTTGTTTCATCAACTTATTTGTCAATAATTTACCTCGTTTAAGAAATTGTACATACGTAGAGCATGCGCTTGCGCATCGAATCAACTGAGAGATATATACCCCGTATGCAGGTGATGAAGGTATATTGCTGCATAAGTAAGGGAAGTTGACGATTGAAAAGTTAAAGTCATCACGTTTATCATAAAGCTTGGTTATTAGATTACCATTAACGTCTTTTTTCAAGTAACATATCCAAATATGAAACAGATGTGTCAGACTCTCTGGTATCTTTTATCTCAAGCTCACCAGGATATATCGTATCGACATAAGAATGGAAATAGCCATTGTTAATTGACAATACATCGTCGATATATCTAAATGTCGAGTTGAAGGCCACAGCAAGTGTTTTCTTCTTTTCACGTACAAGATTTTGGACAAATTCTGCTTCATATGAATACAAAAAAGGTCTGCTAATAACGGGTTGCAATTGGTACCCATGGGAATTCCAATAGATTGTTGGAAGACCTGGTCTCCAAAAACCACATAGATATTGTCAATCAAAAACTCAAGCATCTTTTTAATGTCAACTTATGAGTAGTTGTGTGTACAATCAGAATGTTTTTTAACATAATAAGTTTGCAAATGACCAATGACAAGGTAACTATTTGTACGAGTTCCATATTTACTGAAAAAGCAACTGCCAATTATAACAAAAAGCCTGGACTAAGTCATTGTGGGGAATGGTTGTGTATAAAGTTGAAAAGTCGTAAGTTTTGAAGCTGTTGATTTTGGTAAAATCTTGTGATTTCAAATTTTCCAAAAGTTCCTTGGAATTTTTAAGTATCCACAGCTGATTTACACAAATGAGAACAAGTTCCATAGTTTTTTCCCAAAGCCTCCACACTTTTTAGCTTTAAAACGATTTTGATCTTGTTTCATCGCAATAGTTACGGATGCAAGTACAAGATACAGGAGGCTCTACACATTCAAGTATACTCTGTAGATGTTCGTACAATACAAGAGATAAGCAGCTCTGTATAACAAGATATATACATGATATATACATGTCTTACACAGTGAGCAAGAATTTAAGGAGGAGTAGGACCTTGAGCTTAAAAATTCCTGTCAATCATTTTTATTTTATATTTTAAAAATACTAATATAGTATGTCCTACATATCTTTAAGCACTTCTTTCATCAGATTTCTTGACTAATTTAAATTCATTTTAAAGATATCGACGCACAAATATTGCACCGTACTGTGTCTATATAAAGTTTTGATTTTTCATGCTTACGGGCCCATTACTGAGTCAAAAGCTCGGGATTTTGAGTACAAATAAAAATGATATATATGAAGATATGCATTTCTTCAAATATTTTACAATATGAATTGAGTTTAATTCATTTAATTCATTTAGCAAGATGTTTATTCCACACTGCGTATAGTTTGTATGAATAAGGTACTTGAGAAAACTTTAACGACAAAAACTCATTCGTGAGAAAAAAATATATCAATCAATTTTACGAAATTTACAACTGAACCGGAGTCCTTCATTTTAATAATTAACTGTAGAAATGTCAAAATGTGAAGATTACTACAAAATTGCACAAGAAATCGTTATACATTGTTATAAAAAGCTATATGTTTACTTTTTCCTAGTTCGAAAAAAGAATACTATGATGTTACAAAAGCCTTTGCAAGTGATAAAAGATATCAATGCAAAATAGTACTGCTTATATCCAAGTCAAAATTATGATTTCGTCTCCTCATTGACTAAATACTTCAAAATGGACTGACAATCCTTTCTTTCATATAATAAAGTTGACAGTGTAAGTAACCTGTAGTTGTTCTAACTACACTATTGAATAATGTATGACGTCACTGACTTGTTAGTCGCGCAGTGTAGAACAAAGGGGTGGATCAATCTTTTTTCACAAGTTTTAAATATTGATATGAATGTTTAAACTTTGAAATATTTTCATGTAAGATGATAAAGATAAACAATTTGTACAAAAAAAAAAAAAAAAAATGGTTATTTCAATAATGTTTTAATATCTTTATTTATATGATTTATCGCTTGTTTATAATTTTGTTATAGTTTTGACAGATGCTTGGTCATTTTCATTTTTTTTTCTTTGTGGTAAGCTGTTGTATCATACTTTTTGACAGGTTGCTGAATTCGTGATTTTCCTTTGCTCACCAGCGGCAGACAACATGACAGGGACAGCTATTCCGGTGGATGGAGGATATACAGCAAAGTAGACGGGGCATCGTATCAGATGTCCATGTCTATTGTTTGTTTTTCTTATTTTTCTCTACTTTCTTCTCCGGTATATTTGTGCCCGCGAGTGTTCTATATCTACTCATCTAGTTTAGATGAACCTTTTAAGGGTTAAAAGGCATGTTTTGTGTTGTGCGGAACAAAGATCCTTTTCAGTGAACAAGCATGCACGTGGTGGGATGACTGTTATAGTTTATAAAGTCGTAACTTTTGTTGATTTTGTTGATGAAATTCTTTGAAACTCGGAATATTAATATAAATTAGTAGGGATGATATGGCCAAATAAGTATGATCCCACGCGCATGTGCGTGCCCTTCGCTCTGATTAGCTGAAGGAAAAATCGTAATAACTTACCTGCTTTTTGACAAAATACTTTGAACTTAAAATAAAGGTATATATTGTAAAGATTCTGCCATATGTAATATGCGAAAAAAAATTTAAAAATTTGTATGGATGTGTTTTGCAAATGGATTGGCTGAAACTTTAGTTTTCAATAAAACAGGAGGAAACTAAGAATATTGATAGGTATAAGGAATTCCTATATTATGGTGCTATCAAAATTGATTACAGGAACATGCATGCACCGGGATTCAATTCTGATTGGCTAATACTTAATAGGCAGTATCTATCTTTAATACTAGTACGTTGAAATTTAAGAAAAGATATACATTATACGGCACTATAAAAACATACATCTGAGATTTTTTTTTAAAAAAGGTGCAATCTGTCTTAGTTTATTGCTAAAAATGATTTTGCCGATTGTAATAAAACTTTTAGGGAAGAGGCACCGAAAGGGAGAAGGAAGCGTTTGGGGGAACATATGTAAATGTCTCCGTTAAAATTAGCACTAGTTTACTCTTATTGCTAACAAACAATAACTATTCTAAGCATCCAATTTATACCATATATTCATTGTATGTTTAACATATATGATACAGAGCGTGTACATCTTTGATAGATTGGACATAATATGTAATGATTAAGGATCACATTTGATGTATTCTTAAGATAATTCTGTAAAAATAAAAAAATCTTTGAATAAATGAATTTACAAATAATTTTTTTTTAAATATATGTATTCTAGAAGGGCATTATTGAATCAGTCAATACATTAGAATTGGAATTCATTAGACAATCGCATTAGGCGTCCAAAATATGTTAACTATTGAAAGCAGAAATTTGAAGATAAATGGGGTAAAATGAAATTTTGCAAGGTCAATAGGTTTTTACCATATGCTGGGTGGAATTTAAACGTGAGGATAGACTGAACGTAATAAAGAGAAGAATTATCGGAATCAATGTAATCTGAAAATGGACGCTGCATCGCAAGGGAGTTAAGGCTAAGTATAGAGTTTCTATGTAAATTACATGTAACTACATGTAAGTAAAACGCATAAGGACTATACCTGTTACACAGAAAAAGTTAAAACTTGTTTTCTAATACAATCTTGGTACCCAGGACATGTGATAGCCAGTACATATTATGACGTCATTGTCCTCTACTACACATGCTTATAAGGAACATCAACAAAATAGCTTCTACGCAAGGGCATAATTTACATTGTTTTACAGAAACCGGGTATAAATAGACGCAAGATATTCCAAGGATTTATGATATTGCTGCACAAATCTCGACAGTGTAATTATTTTGTTACATGTACTATCCGTAAAGCTTTTGATTTGAATCAGGGTAAATATTCACATCCGGTGTAAGTTATCTAAAATTTTTGTCAATTGAGAAAGTGCATAGGATTTTTGCAGCCATTTCATCAATATAAAATATTCTTCTTAATATTATAAATTATTTAAATAAAATTAAATAGATGTAATTGGACCGACGCTGTTTTGTTGATGTGTTTTATTATCTTGAGTGATTAAAGAAAAATGACGTCATAATATGACGTCATTATGTGCACTAGCTTTAAAATGTTGCGTGTACTTAGTATATATAAGAAAATAAATTTTAAGTTTCTTCATATAAAATATATACTTCTGTTGCATTTTATTAGCTCAATTGAATAGAAACGCCTATACTTATCATTAATTCACTTTCGATTTCAAATTATCAGCAGTTTCAGCACAAATACGGAGATATGCTTTCTACACTTAATGAGGATGTCTATATTAATTAAACATTTTATGAAAATAAATTGTATAATTGTCAAAATGTTTTTCTAAAATTACAATAATAATTTTTTTGATGTAGCACTATCAGCATCAATTCTACATATTTTAGATCAGGAAGTATAAAACTAATTCAGTCAGCATACTATTAATATCTCATCAAGTAACAATCAATTAATTCTCTAAACATGCTTTCACAAAACTGACGTTAATTTATTTTCGATCTCATCCCGTTTCTTTCAAATACATGGTCGATATTCTTCACGTAGGCCTTACAAAGTGGATTCCGTCTTTTATTCATACATATATAATAACAATCAATAATTGGCCCACTTCTTCCGGGAGCCATAGAATTGTTCGTTAAGAATGACATGAAATTCCATTTGATAGCCGTCGGGATACATGTAGGAAAGCTGTCAGTCGAAATTTTTGAGTTGTTGAGTTTTGGGTGTGATTTGAATTCCTTCCATTATCTAAGGTTTTGCATTATGGATTTTAATTAACCACCCCTTCCTCTAAAATATTTGAATGACCAATCTGTTGCCATCAATGCGTATCTTTTTAATATTTTATAATTCACATTTAATATTACATCTAATCAACATAAAAGTTATGAAAACAGGTTTTAAAATTGCCATATCACTAGTTAATTGTTGACATATATATATATATATATATATATATATATATATATATATATATATATATATATATATATAGAGTAAGAAATACTCCCAAGAATGATCGTTTATCAGATATAAATGTAACTCGTTATGATGGAAGAAATGAAAGTGCTGAAACGTAAAATATTTACTTGTTAGAACCAGTAAATTTTGATTTGAAAATATTATATCTCTGAGAGACACAAGGATATGTTTTATCCCTTTAAATCACATTTATTTAAGAAATGAGTTATTTTTTTTGAGAATTCAGGAGGGAAATGAGAAACAACGTGTTAGCGCGTAATGATAAATATGCGGGCGTGAAGCGTTTTAGCTGATGTACCTCATGACATCTCAAATATTTAACTCATATCTTATATATGCATAATTTTTCTGATGACTTGCCACATATTTTTGTCAACGATCATTTTTGAAAAATAAAGGTTGCACTAATTTTTACTTCAATTACGTCACAATGGAAATATTCTTACTCACCCTACGGTCGTTCATGAGAAAGTGAACTTTTTTTCTAATTTTATAAGAATCTTAAGGGAAAATATTCGGAAATGTAAATATTTTGCAATCTATATGCAGCAGCAACTACAAAAATCATCGACATCAATACGTAACATAGATATAGGGTATGCATGCAGTGTATTTGATGTTTACATTTAGTACATGTATATTGACTTGTTAAGCAAGTGTTAAATGTGATGATAACACAATACTATCAATCTAAAAAAATCGTAAACAGGGCAAAGACACGGAGCACTGGACACACCACAAGTGGGATCAAATGCCCTGGAGGAGTAAGCATCCTGTCACACCCGATGTGAGCCTTATATATTGATCAGGTAGACGCAGAACTCCATAATCAAATCTAGTATAAAAGCAAACACCTAACAAATGGCATAGAACATGTCAGAAACAATTCGACCCCAAGCTAGTCTGTATTCATTCATTATAATGGCCGTAGAATTTGCCAAAAAATGACTTTAGACGAGATTGTTAAAATCTTTGTAACCTCAACTTGATTTTCAGGAGTTTGATCGTACTCAGAACATGCTCTTGCGTATCGAATCAGTTTGGAGACATAAACATCAGATGCAGGTGATGCTGGAATATTATTATTTAAATGAAGGAAGTTGACAATGGAAAAACCGAAGTCATACCGCTTGTCATACAGTTTAGTTGAAGTTGGCCATTATCGTCTTTAGTAAGTAAAACATCCAAGTGTGAAACAGAAATATAATGTAAATTCCGTTGTAGTTTAGTACTTTAAAAACAGAGAAATTTTGAAAGAGATTGCAGTTTTATTTCATATCGACTTTTACCAAATATTTTATATAATAATATAATATATTTACTTTTGTAACTATTCATGACTATGTATGGCTGAGTCGAGGTATTTAACGAGGCCCAATCTACTGAGTTTGCGCAAACGTTTTCACGCAGCGTTGTTTCACACTCGTCACAGTATCCTTGATTGCCGTCACAATTGAACGTCACAGTTAAAATGACGTCAAATTGCGTTAAAATATTTCGCTATTTTGCATTCCTGGTACGTCTTGACTGTGCGTGTTGAAAGCTCACTCATTCTTGCATTTCTATCAGTTCTTGTGCTTTAATAAATAAATGTTTTGATTAAAAACAAACTTTGAAATATAATTTATTTTGATATATTGTGAATTTCTAAGGAGATATCTATAAGTTTTATCTTATTTTATGTGAATTTTTGAGTATAAGAACTGTAAGTAAAGACATGTAGTCTTTCTCCATGTTCTTCTTGAAAATGTTTATTTACCAATTTTGTTGATAACTTAAGTATGCGTGCAGTAGATTGACTTTTTAAAAAAGAATTCTACGAGTCATCTAAATGCAACCAAGAAGAAATACTTCAGTTTCCTGCATATTAAAAAACGTTGTAATTTTATTGCCTTTTAACCCCCCCCCCCCCGGCCCCCTTTCTTCTTCTTTTTTCCACGTAAAATAAGTTGAACGTTTTGCGTTAGACAAAATACCGACTGGAGAGAAAATTCTTTCATAATGTAAAGAGCATTAAATTTTGAGAAACATATGCACTATATCAATTACTTCTTGATATTATGTAAACCTACTGCGACTTTATAAGGTGTCTTAAATATAATAAGTCCTATTTTTTGTATTTTGATATGCCCCCTTTTCACAACAATAAAGGCTATCCCCACTTTTCTTTTCATTCTTTAAATGAGGAATGGATATTACATAATATATGTGAAAAGCAAAACAAATTCACCATTTAGTTTATTTTTAATTTATCGATACCATTGTTTTCATGTAGTTTTAGCATGTGTATAAAACCATGAAAAATTATCCATATTTTGTAATTCTCCCCATTCCACTACAATCAAGGCAAGGTAACAAAATTTAAGTCTAATTTTTCTCAGCATTGTACATACAAATTTATATTAAAAATTCAAAAATAGTTGCCGGTCCGTTTTCGTAATTTCCAACTAGATTGGGTCTCGCTAAGAAAATGTAAATATTATCTCAAAGTCTGAAACATCAGATATTTCTAAAACGAGGTAAGTTATTGACAAACAAGTTGATTAAACAAAATATCAACAGTCTCGTTTAAAGTCATCATTTCGTAAGTTCTATGGTCGATACAATGACCTTGTCAGCAAATACGATTTATCATTGAGTCAAATGCTGACTGATTATTAGGCCATTATTTACACACTGAATTGTCGACGGATTTTTCTGTAATTTCCCGCTCATGACAAGGAGCACACTGCGGGTGTGACCAGTCGGCAGGGGATGCTCATTCCTCCATGACACCTCTGATGTTTTGGAGGTCCGTGTTTGCTCTGCTCCTATTTTGTAATGTTTAATGGACTTTTGAGCTTGAATACTGTTCGTTATCTCCATTTATTTCATATTTCAGTGTGTTTCCTTATGCAGTTTTACTCAAAATATGGTATTTGCCGACATAGTAGCTGAAGAAGTAACAAAGCAGACAAAAATATCATAAGGAAAGATATAAAAAGAGAAAAAGTTACATTAATCTCCGTTTCTCTCTCATTGCGCGTTTCTTTGAAATATAAAATTGAAAAAAATCTATATAAAAACGTAAAATACATTTTTTAGCAAATTTTATGTTTCTTAAAACATAATTTAATCATTTAACATCC